TTGTCCTTCAATTAGTCTTCTCGTTGCCTAAATATTTACTCTTTGTGGCTTTAATCCACTCATTTGCACAACATAACAAAAGAACATGCTCACGCCGAACAAAGAGAAATGAAGGCTAAAAACAATCTTAAAATCCTAATTATGTCTTAGAATGCAAGTTAAATGCAATGTAAATATAACATAATTTTACACTCATCAATTCTAGTGGTTGCTAATTATAGAAGAAAAGAGATGTTGAAAGAAATGTTGTCCAATATGTCAAAGAGGTTAACTTCGTGGAGGGTAACTTTTATCTTTTGGAGGACATGTGGTACTGATTAATTGTTTTAAATGCTCTGCTGGTTCATCTTATATCTTTCTACAAAGCTCTTAGGTAGACCTGTCAAAATGAGTCAGGTATAGCGGGCTATCCCGCCAAAGCCCGAAAAGGTATAGGGCTTGGGTATTAAATTTTGAGCATTTTACTTAAACTGGAATTTTTAGCCCGACCAGGCCACAAAAAATTCGGGCTCGGGCCGGGCTTACCCGTCCAGGTTCGGGCCAATATGCAATTTTGATGTTGTGGAGTTTTGGATAAGATGATATCCTATTAGCTTATTGTGATTGGTTACTCATATTTTCCTCCCATATCCTTTGGCTTTTCAATTTCCCATCCTATCATAATTCTAAAAATCTGAATATTTGCAATGCCTCAAGTTCTCAACCTCTCACCCATTGAACATCTCACAACCTAACACTATCACTCAACATCACAACCTCATCACTCACCAGCCTCCCTTCCTCACTGTCTAGGTACTAAAATTTGCCTTTTAATTTAGTTGCTTTTAATACCATAAAATTGCCTACTCAGTTTTTTTTGGAATTGATGTATTATTGAAACTTGTTTATGCTCTCTGATAATGGTGATTTCTAGTTCTTATAGGTCCTGATTTTCTTATGTTAATGCCTTGTGACAATTTTCCCTCATGTGAGACAAATGGTTCTTCATATTAAATTTATGTGAATTTCTGATTATTAAATTTAGCTAATTAAAAACTTCACGCTTCAATGTTTTTAAATCGAGCAAACAAAAATATGGAAATGGCTCAAACACCCATTCTTGGAGGATAATATGAATTTGTACCTCCACTTGATTTCTTGAAATAATATGCTCACATGATTTTGTTATAGTGTGTTGTTTCATAGGTAGACATGAACATTAACATTGAAAAAAATGCTTTTGTTATAGTGTGTTGTTCAATTGGCAAACAGGAACATTAATATTGAATCCAACATTGTAACTATTAATTCATAATTTGTTGTTGTAGTTATATATTTATTTGTTCATTTTGTACTAATAGTTTGTTGTTTCATCCTTATAGGTTTGCATATTATGGATTACAGTGTTGGTGACTATGAGATATTAGAAACCTCTATCGAAGTTAAACAAAATACTAATGGAAATGTACAAGAGAAAGATAGTACAAATGCTTCTCAATCAGAACAAAAAGGGCGTATACCTCTAACATCTCAACCAGAACCAAAAAGTGGTAAGGCCCTAACCTCAGATGCATGGAGCCACTTTGAAAAAGATGGTATTGTAGATGGAAAAGAAATGGCTAGGTGTCTAGGGTGTAAAAAATTATTGAATTGTTCAACTAGGAATGGAACTTCACATTTAATCCGTAATGTTGACAATTGCAATAAGATCGTTAAAAATAATGATATAGGTCTTATGTTACTTGATGGTGGTGGAGGGGGTTGAAAAAGAGAAAATTTGATCCTAAGGTTAATCGTGAGATGATATTGAATTGATTATTTCACATGGTTTTCCATTTAATATTGTTGAGAGGGGTATTTAGAAAATACCAAAAAAAATTAAATGATGATTGTAGATTCATTACTAGAAATACTGCTAAAACTGATGTGATGAAGTTGTATGATATTGAGAAAATGAAGTTAAAATCACAATTACTTGAATTCTTAGTAGAATATGTTTGACTTCTGATTGTTGGATTGCATGCACGAATCATGGTTTCATTTCTTTGACTGGTCATTATGATGATACTGAATGAAAATTAAATAGTAATATTCTTGTGTTTGCTCATATGAAACCTCCACATACCGGGAAAGAATTAGCATTGAAAGTGATGGAATTTTTAAGAAATTGGGGAATTGAAAAGAAGATTTTTTCCCTCACTTTGGATAACGCTACCTCAAATGACATTATGCAATATCATGTGAAAGAACATTTAGGATTGTCAAGAAATTTGTTGTTTAATGGAGAATTCTTTTATGTAAGATGTTGTGCTCATATCTTGAACCTCATTGTTCAAGATGGTTTGAAGGTTGCTAGCGATACATTGCACAAAATAAGACAAAGTGTGAAATATATTAAGGTTAGTGAAAGTAGAACAAGATAATTTTTTTGCTTGTGTTGCATTGGTTGGTGGGATTGATACATCAATTGGGTTGAGATCTGATTGTGTCACTAGATGGAACTCTACTTTTATAATGCTTGAGAGCGCAATTAATTATCGACGTGCCTTCACTAGTTTTAGTTTGCATGATACAAATTATATTTGGTGTCCATTAGAAGATGAGGGGAGTAGAGCTGATATAATATGTGACTTTTTGAGACCATTCCACAATATTACAAAGTTGATATCTAGTTCTTTTTACCCCAAATCAAATTTGTATTTGGGGGAAATATGGACTATAGTCTCTTTTGAACTCTATATTGACAAATGAAGATTTGGCGATTCAACAAATGACTCGCAATACGAAAGCCAAATTTGAAAAGTGTTGAAGTGAATATACTATGATATTGGCATTTGGTGCTATTCTTGATCCATCTAAAAAACTTGATTTTGTGCAATGTTTATATGAAGAAGTAGATCCATTTTATGTGGAGAAGGTGAGTCAGATCAAAATGAATTTGTATAGACTTTATGATGAATATGTCAACAAGGATGATCAATCCAATGAGAGCCTTTCACAAGTCCAAGGTTTATCTTCATTAGGAGGAGAAAAAGGAAAGAAGTTTCAAGTACCCTTATACCAAGCCCGTGTAAGTTAATTTTATAAATTTAGTATAACTATTTCATTTTCCATTCTTCATATGCATGTATAGTTTAATAAATTTGGTTATTTATTTTATAATTTGAATAACATAAAAACACAAAGAGAATGACATCTCGTGGAAAAAGCAGATCCAGAACAAATTCCACAAAATGTGTGTTTTGATGTTTTATCTTATTGAAAAGATCGAAATCGTGCATGTCCTACTCTTTCAAAGATGGCTTGTGGTGTATTAAGCATTCCAATAACAACAGTTGCATCAGAATCTGCTTTTAGCATTGGTGCTCGAGTTTTGAACAAGTATAGAAATTCTTTAAGTGATGAAACAATTCAAGCTCTCTTCTGCAAACGTAGTTGATTACATGGTTTTGTCAGTAAGTTTTTTTTTAAGTTCTAGTTACACTTTAAAATAATCATTCAATTTTATTAACATAATTAATTTTTATCGTAGAATATGATAATGAAGAAGATGATTATGAGGGAGATGTCATTGATATTGAAGATATAAAAATTTCTCATGGGGGTTTAGAATCAATTGTTCAATCTAATGAATGAAAAAGAGAATGTTGATTTTGTTGAATGTATGTGTTTTCTATTTTTCTAGTACTTTGTGTTACTATGAATTTAATATTTTCACTAAAGTGTATAGATTTAATATTTGGACAATTATATTATTATAATTTAGCAATATAAAACCTTTAAAGCATTTAATTAGAAGATGCAACAAAAAAGGTCACAATTGTTTACTTTATTATATTTTTGTGTGTGTAAATACTAAATAGGTTGTAAAATATTATTTAAATTTTTAAATATAAATAATTTTGGACTGGTCCGCCACAGCCCGCACCCCGCTTTGGGCGGGTTTGGGCCTCAGTTTTAGTAACATAAAATCTAACCGAACTTTTTAGCCCGACACATTTTAGCCCGAATCAAAAGCGGGCTAGCCCGAAACCATCCGAGTAGCCCGTTTTGACAGGTCTACTCTTAAGTGAGTGCTCAAGGCTATGACTAAAATTTAGAGAGATTTCATGTGAGATAGTGCTGGAGCTCATAGGAAAATCTCTTAGATAAAGTGGGATACGGTTTGTAAGGATCATGTTAGGGGTGGTCTGGGTGTCAAACATTTAGAATCTCATAACTTGACTTTGCTTGGTAAATGGAGGTGGAGGCTGTTAACTGAAAGAGATGCTCTTTGGTCTAGAGTGTTACATTCCAAGTATGGGGTTCATTTGGGTTTTATTTGGGAGATGTAGGTCACGGGGGTCCTTTGAGTCTCTTTGGTGGAGGGATTTGAAACAAGTGGTGGGAGGTTCTGTAACACCCCGAATTTTAGTCTTTAAAAATTAGAGTATCAGTTCTGGAAGCCTCGCTTGATCCAGAGATTCTCGCTTGAGCGAGAGAGGTGCATCTGGGAGGGTGAAATCTTGGGCTATACTGGAGGATTCTCGCCTGAGCGAGAGTTGTGTCACCCGAGCGAGAAATGGCAATTTTGGGCAGTGTAATCGATTACACAGTCCATGTAATCGATTACATACAGATAAAAAGCATCAGATATGTGTATTTTACATGATGTAATCGATTACACAATACATGTAATCGATTACATGCAGATAAAAAGCATCAGATATGTGCATTTTACATGATGTAATTGATTACACAATACATGTAATCGATTACATGCAGATAAAAGCATCAGATATGTGCAAATTTACATGATGTAATCGATTACACAATACATGTAATCGATTACATGCAGATAAAAGCATCAGATATGTGCATTTTACACGATGTAATCGATTACACAATCCATGTAATCGATTACATCTATGCGTTAAGCGAAAATTGCTACTGTGAGATTCTCGCTTGAGCGAGAATGGGCTAGCTTGAGCGAGAATGAGCTCGCTTGAGCGAGAATGGGCTCGCTTGAGCGAGAACCCGACGACTGCTCTTTAAAAATAGAAACCCCAAACACATTTTAGGGTTAGAACTTGAAGAGAAGAGAGAGAATGGAGCTTTTCAAGAGCAAGGAGCCTTATGACTCATCTTAGAAACCCCAAACCTCTTGTTTCTAACTCTTCTTCTTCCTCTCTAACTTGTTTTGGGTATGTTAGATCTATTTTCAAAATATGAGAAACCATGGAAACTCATCCGTTAGAGTTATGGTTCGTTTTAGGTTGTTTTTCTCTTGTAAACTCTTGGTTTAGAGTTGATATTTGATGAATGGAAAGGTTTTGTGGGTTGTTTATGAAAACCCCAAAATGAGAATATAAGTAAAGAGAGAAATAGATGAATATGTATGTTTTAGATGTTTGGAAACTCGTATTGAAGTAGTTTTGGAAACCTTGAAAATATGTAAATATCTTGTATGTTTGATGAGGAAATACGAGTTATTTATGTGGTATTTTGAATAAATGATTGACATTGTTGTTATTGGTGGAAATGATGAAAGATCCTAAGGTTTGAGGAAATCGCGGAGGAGACTTTTAAAGTTATTCGGAACCGATCCCCAACACTCACCAAGGTAAGGGATAAGTATCTCTAAATCATACTTGCTGATATGAATGAGGTATGTGAAAGAGGTAATGGTTTAAAATTATACGTTTGTAATTTATGCATTATGTTGGAAAATGCGTGGCTTTTCTGTTATGGTAATAAAAGTAACATTATTGGGGGAGAACCAATGGAAATAAGACTCAAAATGATTTCAACCTAATTTGGGGGAGTCCCAATGGAAATAAAACTCAAAATGATTTCAACCTAATTTGGGGGAGTCCCAATGGAAATAAGACTCAAAATGATTTCAACCTAATTTGGGGGAGTCCCAATGGAAATAAGACTCAAAATGATTTCAATCTAATTTGGGGGAGTCCCAATGGAAATAAGACTCAAAATGATTTCAATCTAATTTGGGGGAGTCCCAATGGAAATAAGACTCAAAATGATTTCAATCTATTTGGGGGAGTACCAAAGGAAATAAGACTCGAAACGAATTCAATCTATTTGGGGGAGTACCAAAGGAAATAAGACTCGAAACGAATTCAATCTGACTCGAAACGAATTCAATCTATTTGGGGGAGTACCAAAGGAAATAAGACTCGAAACGAATTCGATCTATTTGGGGGAGTACCAAAGGAAATAAGACTCGAAACGAATTCGATCTATTTGGGGGAGTACCAAAGGAAATAAGACTCAAATGAAAGTAACATTGTTGGGGGAGGCCCAATGAAAAGATGACTCCGATGAAAGTAACATTGTTGGGGGAGGCCCAATGAAAAGATGACTCGGAATAATAAAAGTCATATGCATGTTATAGGATATATAGTATGGGATATATATTCTATAAGGTGAATATGAAGGATGAGAACTGAATGTCAAAATGAAAGTCATATGCATGCTATAGGATATATAGTATGGGATATATATTCTATATGATGAATATGAATGATGAGAAACGTGAATGTCACATGAAAGTCATATGCATGCTATATGGTATATAGTATGGGATATATATTCTATAGTGTGAATAGGAATGACGAGAAATGTGAATGTCACATGAATGTTGTATGCATGTTATAGGATATATAGTGTGAGATATATATTCTATAGGGTGAATATGAGCGATAAAAAGGAAGATGTTGAGAAAGAAAGTAATATACATGCTATATGATATATATTATGGGATATATATATTATATGGTGGATATGAAGAACGAGACCGATGATGTTTCGAACGAACGTAATATGCATACTATAGAATATATATTATGGGATATATATACTATAGGATGAATATGAGTAAAGTGGAAATTAAAGGAAGATGATTTGAATGTTTATAATTTCGTATGTGTGTTTATGAATTACATCAAAGCTTGATTGTATTTGAATGTGGATTATCATGTGATGTTAGTTTGAACTAATGACTTACTCCCTTTTGTTTTGCGTGTTGTTTATGATAATCTCATTGTAGGTAAATGAATGATTTTGAGGATGAAGCTCAAATAGGAAGTCTTTGTGTCTATTTACTTGAGTGTCTTTATTGCTATTCGACGTTGTAGTTGATTCGATAGCATTTTGGGATAAATGTAATATGATTAGGATAATATGGTGACATGTAGTTATGGACGTTATAACCTTGGAAAACCCGTAACTGGATGTATGTGGTAAATGTTATCTAAATGAATTATGTTTTTCCGCAACATAAATTTGTATGATAATATAATAGGTTATAAGATTAGTTCCAGGAATGATTCATGAGAAGTTCTAGGTAAAATGATTATGTATGTGGCTATTGATTCATGGATTGAGTGTGAGGAGGGGAAATAAGATTTTGAAGTAAGGATATTAAAATGGTAATGTGAGTTATGAGTGATTGAATGGAATTGAATTAAAATGAGAAAAAATTTCAAGGGTAGAAAATCGGGTCGTTACAGGTTCAAACGTTGTTCATGAGAGGATTAATGGTAGCTTTAAAAATGTCGTGGGGAATGAAAGTCACACTAGATTTTGGGTGGGGGAATGCCCTTAAAAAGATTCTTTTGATCGGGTTTATAATTTGAGTTTGCCTAAAGAGGCTTTAGTTGGTCACTTAGGTTTTTGGAGAGATGGGTTGTGAAACTGACACTTACCTCAGAGGAGAGTGCTATTTGAGTGGGAAAACCTTTGATTGAGGATATTATGAAACTTTTGAATATAATTAGACTTAAGGAGGATGTTGAACACAAGTGGATCTGGATTCACGATGTTTCTAATTGTTATTCAATCAAGTCAACTTACAAAGTGATTTGGCACAAGGATGATTCTAGACCACAATATAGTCACTTGTGGACTGGGGTTTGGAAGTCTTTGGCTCCTTTGAAGATTCGGGTGTGTGCTTGGAGGAATATCCTGAATAGGATTCCATGTAAGTGGAACTTAACCAAGAGGGGTGGTAATTTCATTAGGTATGAGCTAATGTGTGTGTGGTGTCAGGAATGGCCACTAACTACAACTCATTTTTCGTTGTCTTATTAGTTCTCTTGTCATACTTGGCAGCTATTTTATGGTTGGTTGGGGCTTATTGTTGTGTTACCCCATTCTAGTGATACCCACTTTTTGCAAAACATTCTTTTGGTTAAGGGTTAACTAATGAAAGAAGTTTGCTCTGTTTTTTGGATAGTTGGGATTTGGTTTCTTTGGAATTATCGTAATAACATTATCTTTAACAACAAAAAAGTGTGTATGGAGGAGGTAGTGGATAAGATAAAAATTGAAGTCTTAGTTATGGATCAAAAGTAGACTCAAAGGAACAAACATATCTTGGTATGAATGGTATTCTAATCAAATCTTGTGTTTGGATTGTTATTGTTTGGATGGGATTAACTCTTCCCTTTCATTTTTTGGGGAGTATTTTCTCTTGTACACTTTTTTTCTCTTGACTATAATTTGTTACTTTTTTTAATAAAGTTTTCACTTATCAACAAAAAAAACATCATAATATTTTATCATTCCACAACATTCATCACTAAATCTTTTGAAATCTTTCAAAATCTTTTACCTAATGTTTTTTCTTGGCATCTCTATCTCTAGAAATTGGTATATTCACCATCAGAATATTGTCCTTGTTGTGCCTTCTAACAATCTCCTCATGATATGCTCAAACCACCTAAAGTGCACTTCGAACATCTTTTCTACGGCTGTTACCTTAACTTTCTCCCTAATATAATGAGTTAATATATACATTGTCAATGTAAAAATTTATACACAGACAATATATCATTCACCATTCATTTGTTTACTTTATAAAAAGTCAAAGATGATTAAAAATGAACGGTGGATGATAGACAGATAATGTATAAAACTCTTACATTATCTAAGTATACATTTTTTCTCATTTTATCCAACACAACACTTGGATCTGATACATTGAATTCATTCTCTTCTCATTATATATCATCTAACATGTAGTAATAACATTATATATCTTAAAGTTTGTAGATATACAATGTAGAAAAAGCCACCAAACCAGAACACATTATTATATATTGCTAATTCACAGGATTGTTAACAATAACCAGACAACTTATCTTTATAAAAAAAAATTAAAAAAAATCTGAAGTTCGTTTTTATTGCTTGAGAAATAACATTAAAAAACCATTCTTTTAACATAAAATAAAATCATTTCTCAAAAATGTCACAAGGAAATGCAAAACATATGCTACTGACAAGTGTGAACCAATAGAAATTATTATATTTGGAAATTTGCTGGCATATATGGAGTACCAAAACACTGCATGAATATCTGAAGATACTAGCATAACCATTGCTGCTACAATTATCAGCTATACCCCTTTCATCCTCTTGTGGATCATCCTTTCGATATTTTACGATTTGGTTTTTAGAGGGTAATGGAGGAAAGGGAAAGACTTCGAAATTATGAAATACACTTCTGATATGATTTCCAAACCTTCCGTTTCCCTGACTCCCCTCTCTAAAAACCAACTCGTAACCAAACCCTTAAGACCGAGAAACAATGAAGAGTGCAATGAGGGATCCTAGAGAGAGGTCTATTGACCCAGTCTCAGTTAGATCTTCAATTGGCAATGGTATATCAAACCATGAACCATGTAGCAGAAGAATGAGGACAACAACATAGACTAACATCACGATAAGACAGAAGATTATAATTAAGGTACATTCCTGAACAGTGAAAGGATTACCAACATAATAAAGGTAAATTCCTGAACAGTGAAAGGATTACCAACATCATAATAAAGGTACATCCCTAAAAAGTTCAAGGATTACAAGTGACAAGAAAAACAATCAGTAACAAAACCCAAACTGGAACCAGCATCTATTTGGCATTTAAATGCCAATATTATTGAACTTTTTGAAGGTCCTAATAACGTTTCAGGGCTCTCAAAAGAAAAAGTTATCCAAAAAGCATTCAAACAAGTTTCTGACAATACCACAAAATTCAAAACACTTCCACCCTCATGCACAGCATATAACACTGTCTGAAGGACAGTCATAAACCTGCAAAAATGGTAAATACACAGCAATAAGCAACAGCAACTGTGTAACAGAATCTTGACGGAAATCAGTAGAAGAACTAGGTATAAACCAATAAAAAAGAACATGGCTAAAGACACCTAACTCTTCCTTTTTTGTTGGTTTGTGAAGTTTTGGCCTTGTCATATAACAAACGTGTTACTATGTTGTCTATGCATTAGAAATTTTGACAACAAAATTAAGAGGAACGATCAAATGCCTGTGTTTTGGCTTTGCCCTTTAACCATGTCAATTGCATGTTCCCTTTCATTAAAATAAAGTTAAAAACATCTTTGTTTGGTTCCCTTTCAATTATTTTGAATGTTATGGTTGTTGGAGAAAAAATCATTCCTCTAACGATCTTCATTGATTTATGATAGAGTATTTATTATAGAGTCGTTCGATCCATGTGGCCAACCCCAAGGTTTGGTTGTTCTTGAACAATCTTTTCTGTTACATTAAAGTATTCTCACCTTACTACCCATATTTCATTTTCCTGTGTCGTGTAGTTTTTACTGTTATGTCCTTGTTAGCATTTTTAAGTCTGAAAGTACTTTTTAGTTTATACCATTTAAACAAAATCTTCATTTAAAATCTGTTCTTTTTTATCATTACTTAACAGCATTATATGAAAGATAAAAAGCACTTCAACAGCAATTGGTAGAATTGATATTTTACAATCTTAATCAAAACATACCCCAATTTGTTTCCAATAATATAACTTGCAGACATTTATCTTTCACTTTTAGATCAGGTCTGTTATTAGAAACAAGAATGGCCATTATAATATGATGAAGTAAAGTTTTTCCTTAACTCACCGTTGTTATTTACCACTGTTGCGAGTACAACCCTGGTATCTACCACCAATCACTGGCAATATATTGCCTGATCAATGTGTGGCGGAATTTGCTTTATTTCAGTGCCAAGTTCTTGCTCAATCCTATATCTGGATAAAATAGGTGGAATAAACATCATAAAATCTACATGAAGTATTCTGAAGCAGTGAAATTCATTAGATATCTAACTGTTACTTACAAATTGAAGCGGTCCTCATACGTGATCAAGTTCACTGCTAAACCAAGGTGTCCAAACCTCCCTGAACGACCAACCTGTAGGTCATCAGGAAATCCATAAGAACACATACAGATGAGTATTAGCAATAAAGGGGAGGGTGAAAGCAGAAATCAAGTATACCCGGTGAAGATAAGTTTCCGAGTTCTTGGGAAAATCAAAATTAATGACAACATTGACTGCTTGGATATCTATTCCCCTAGTGAAAAGATCTGCAGTTGTTTCACAAGGAGGGAGGGAAATGAAATTTTTAAATATTAGTACAATAAAGAAAATATATCTAACAAGTTCAATTATGCAGATTGCAGCTATAAACAAGATTCATAGCATACATTATAACTCATAACATCATCATTGCAACAATTACTTACATTAAAAATATAGGCCATCACTAGGAAAATTGATTTCTTGAGTAAAATTAATAAATGAAAACAGTACATGAAAATGAAGTATATGAAGCCAGAAACAGATACATATTTAAAACAGCCATATCTTCTAGCAGGATATGCATCACACACAATCACCTCAAAGAAACACCCATTATACTCATTTATAGGACTCTAATGTACAAGCAACATACCAGTACAAACAAGATTCCTGCATGCCCCATTGCGGAAATCATGAAATACTCTGTTACGGTGGTCTTGCAACATCTTTGCATGAATATAGAAACATGAATACCCAAGTTCTGTGATTTTCTTGGCAAGGAGTTCAACCCGATTCACCGAGTTGCAGAAGATGATTGATTGGTTTATTTGCAGCTGGAATAGACACCATTATTCTTATCAATTATCATGTTCAGAACTGGTAAATAATAAATACAGTAACTTGACATAGATAACATATACCTTAGAGAAGAGAGTATTTAGGCAGTGGACTTTCTGCCTCTCTTCCACAAATGCATAAAACTGTGTAATACCTTTCAGAGTTAGCTCATCCAT